AAGCTCCCAAGTGAAATTTTCTGAATATTATTATTATTTTAAATATGTTAAAAAGCATAATATCTGTCCATTTTTAAAGTACATTATATCGCCAGCATAGTCATTCGTTTGCTTGGTGATTTAAAACAAAAATATYCTTCAATTTGTTGTGTAAAACCACCTTGGATGAACAAGAACAATGTGTGTGTTAATTTTGTTTTAATATCATTCATTAAGATGACAAAATATACATTAATATAGCAAATAACATATTTGAGCAAAAACAGGTGCGAAAAAATTAATTTATCCATAAATAAGTTATTTAAACAAAACTGAAAACTTTAAATGACTGAAACTACAAAATTAATGATCCGTGCCAGTTTCCATTGAACCATTGAATTCAGTGTTGAGAAATACATAGGACCAAAAAAAAAAATTACAATATTAAGGGTGCCCAGTGAAGAAGGAACATACCTTTTTTTCTTATTAAATACCAAATGTTATATCCATTATATTCACCAAAATGGTGTTTACGTGTTAATTTATAAAATACAAAATATATAKATAGCCAAATATTATAAATATTCACATACATGATCAACAAAAATAAATGTTTTTTCCAGTAAAATAAGTATATGCAAAATACACCTAAAAAGTTTATATATTCAAATTGTTAGTTACAAAATAATTTTCTATTCTACAATTAAAAGGAAAAAAATATACAAATTCAATAACATTAGCCTTTTACTTATAATTTATAATCATAGTTATAACCATGCTTGTAATTATTAAATAATATACTACCTAAGTAAATCACATTGTAGCCTTAGGCATTTCTTCTTAGGTGTACAACAAAATCATGAATTGTCCTGCCCTTTTCCTCTTACACTTTTTAACATTTTTTAGGTTTGATTTGACGAATACCAAGACACTTTTAGTCCCTATTGAAAATCTAAACTAATAAAAGTATAACAATTAAATTCTATGAATAACAAAAAAAAATTGTAAATATACACAAATACTTGAAAAAGTAGACCTTAGCTTTAGTATACATCTGAAGTATATATATAACATTTTTTTTTTGTGAGGAAAAAATAACATTTATTTTATTTAAGCGTCTCATGTTCAGTCTCTTTTTAGCCTTCTAGTATGATTTTGTTGATATTTGGGAAATAAGAAAATTTTGGTGTGAATACAGATATAAATTATAATAAATGACAAATACTTTGATAATACAAACCTCTAAAAATATTTTCAATATCATTGGTTAATGGTTATCTGAAATAATAAAACTCCGTTTAATGTTTGCCCAAAATATAATAGTCTCGTAGTGGGCCATGGCCACAATATAAAACTTGCTCACTTCTATATTTTCTTCTGGTCCACTGATTGAGTCCTACTCTTTGTCAGCCAGGTTTTCTACCTGCTCGGCATCATCTAACCTGATGTCTTCATACATATAGTTTTGTTCAGTTCTATTGATAAGAATATTGTGGCCCCACCTTGCCAAATTTTAACGACTAAAAATAAGAATATAAGGAACCATTAGTTAATGAAACTAATGATAGTTTTGAGTTTGATTTCCCATGAAAACTGACTAACATGATCTGTAGATTCTTAAATCCATCTTATGCAAAGACACAGCAAAATCACGTACACGGAATTTCTTCATAATCTACTATAAACAAAAAAATTAATAGTTTTATAACTCAATTCAAAATGTAAGCAATACAAGGTAGTGACCAGTTTTTGTCGGCTCCAGTCAGATACTTCTACCACCAAGTCAACCATTAAGAACAAAGCCACGCCCATGCATTTGGCTGTCGCCCAGTATCGGTCTTATTATSAATAGATTATTATAGTGGCTAGTACTAAACCATTATGAAGAAAACTTACTATTAAATAATGTTTTTTTTTTATAATCAGTGACACATATCCTAGTATAAGTACTTAAACAACAAATAAAAAGTATTATTATTCACAAGATTTTGAACATTATACTTTGGATAATATTTTGTTTAGGTATATAGTCAGAAGTTCATAGAAAATTAGAAATAAATTAATAAATGTGGTATGTTTGAATTATTAATTGATTATTTATTTATTTAGCGTTTAGAAATGGTATTTATATTTATTTCATATTAAAGGAAATTAGGTTATGCATTTTTAAATCAATAATATTACTATAGTAGTTTGGCTATAGAGGGCTTATATTTTAATCATTAAAATTAATTATTTGTTAATACCTACTATTGGTGAGCTGGTTTTTATAGTGTGGTGATATGTAAACTAATGTGTAAACTTATGTTAGACATACCATGGGCATCTAGTAATTAGTCACAGACCAATTGCCTTAAATGATATATAGTTAATTATTAGAATAAGCTTAACACTGAACAGTAGTAAAAATTGTAGTAAAAACTCAAATAAATCGCCATATCTAAAATTT